ATATTTATTTATTTATAGAATGATTCAGATATTTATATAATGATTCTAATACTTTGTATGACCTGGAAAAGAGTTTGGTGGCAAGAATTTTTGTTTCGGATTACTGAAGCCTTGAGATGGCTGCATGCAGATTTGTTATGAATTGGTAGATGATCTGATCATTTTTTAGATGATTTTTTAAGCTCATGTGCTTCTAACACACGGATCACAGAAGAATGGGAACAATCTACAGCCTTAGAGATCTTGGTATGTGTGTGGCCAAGTTTTTTGCAATAATAATTCCATCTTTCTGACTTTCTGTTAATTCTTTTCCATGACATATTATGCGGTAAAATTTAAAGGATGGTTTTTTGAGAGGGAATTGCGCGTAGCTTTATAACTCCTGGATGCGTCATACGAAGATGAGATTTGTTTTGGTTATAGATCATCACTATATGTAAATAATTTATTATAAAATAATTGTCAGAAAAAACACAAGTTCCAATGATATAAATCAATTTAAAAACGCGCGAAATGTCCAATATTTCTTTCTTCCCGTGCTTATAATAGTCCTATCCTGTGATCATTTCATAAAATAACTGACTGTATACAGCAATACATATAATGAATTTACCTTCATTAGGAACATATAATCTAACACTTGTAGAACCTAAATGATATTAAAAAATTAATCTGAAATGTCGTTTTTGAGTGAATGTAAAAATAATGTACGTACCTGGATTGATATTAATTTTGAAGTAAACATTCGACGCGTGTAAATGTCATTTGTTGTTCTTTATAAGATTACTTTTTTGCGGTTCCATCTTTTTCCATTTCTATCTTTCTGAATTAAAGTACTATCGTTCTAGAGCATACAGAAAGCATCTTTTTAAATTTAAAATGATTTATATATAACGATAAAATCAAAGATGCTAACCTTTTTTTTACCGATTATGAAATTATAACAATGAGATATGTCGCGTGTGTGTAGATCATCGATTTATCGCTTTGTTCTCAAGATGTGAACACTTAACAAATCAAAATTTACCACGTTTTAACATTTATATACGGCAGTGGATATTCGAAGATTCAGAAAAACGATTTATTTTTAGCAGTGTAATCTTTTATAAACTACGCTTAGTTTTACATATAGCTTATACAATTCTATATTATGACAATACATTGGATACATAATTGTCAGTATACAAGTAAAGCCTTATTATACAACATATACACAGTGCACCTGGATATAACGAAGTGGTCCGTTCCACCCATTTTTGATATAACCAGGTTTTCATTATATTCAGGTAGAAAAGTATAGTAAAAAAATTTTGGTACATTAGAAAACTTCATTATAAGTGAAAATTCGGTTTATCCAAATTTTATTATATCCATGTACACTGTGTAATACATTTCAAATATTATTCGTGATATCTGGTACAGTGCTGACGTGATGAAAAATGCAATGTACTCCATGGTCAGGCTCTTTAAAAACTGCACCTTCGGTAAAAATCAATGTCTCGTTTTGCGTTTGAACGTTGGAATTATTGCCATTCGATGTCAATGCACGTTCTAACAGGGAATCCGTTGCAGAGACGGCATAATGTGCTGGCAAGAAAGAAAAAGAGTTTACTGAGCTTTCTGGCGTGCGAACAATCACGGTTCTGGTCGTATTATTAGTAGCATTCGTTCTAGCAATCACGGTTCTAGTCGCATTATTAGCAGCAATCGTTCTTGCGATGACATTCATGTTATTCATTATCGTAATTATTACGAAGATACAGAAGAAGTATGAAGTAAGTTCTTCTTTTATAGAAAAATTTGAACAATCAATCTTTAATAAATAGTTAAGCTATTGAAACTTTACGCCATTCTCCTGACACCAAATTATATTATCGCTAGGCTATTTTTATCGTTATCTATTTTTCCTTAGTCTTTTTCGATGTTTTTATAAATAGAACATGTCCCAAAAAAATTTTTTTCTTTATTTTTTGTACTTAGAAGCATTAAATATACCCTAGAATACTATTTATCCTTTGTTATTTTCTGTGAGTATTTTTAAATAAGTCTAACTCGTTAAGACAAGATAAGTCGGAACGTTATTATTTCTATATTCGAAGAAGAATTCATCAAATAGAAGAACTTCTTAAGTGTTCGGTTTCACTTATGTACACTATGCTATAAGGAATGTGGCTTCTGAGATTTATGAGAGCTGTATGCACCTTCCAAATAGCTTTTCCGCCCGAAAAATTCGCACATGTAATTTTTTTACGCTAATATCAAGTTTATTACATGTATTTTGTATGTTACAACATTTACAGTGGTGACTAATAGATCACGACACATTTTGCGGAAAAAATTTCTAGCGTCTACAACATTTCCATATTTTCTATATTCGTTTTTAAACACGATAACTTAGAGAATTTTAACCTACGCGAGTTTTTTCAAAACTTTGTAATAAAATTTTTTCCTTATGAAATCTCCTATGTCAATACTAATAGTTAAATTAATTTACTAATTGAAAATTTCCGCATTCGGAAGCTTATAAGATTTGTCAATTGCCTTAGATCACTCAATTTTCTTAAATGGCAGTACCGTATATAGTAACACCCCTTCCCCCCCCCCCCATTTAAACCACAATTTAATCTGACTCTTTTTAATGGCACAAAATGTTTTATTTCACAAAAATAAATTTAAATTCACATGTAATTTCTTGAAAACTTGAGTTATTAATGAGGTTAAAATTGTTGTTTTAAATTTTTTATTAGACTATGTAATACTGCATACATTTAGCATTAAAGTTTCTCTCCTTCCGACGTGACCGGCAGGTGATCGACTCGGGATACTTGCGAAAAAAAATTGGAATTCTAATATTACTATTGGGTAGATGTATTAATATTACTTTTTATTATTTTACATAAATTTGTTTTCGTACATGTAATAACAAAATTATTACTCCGGATCGACAATATTTTAAATATATTATTTATAACTATATATGTTTAATAATACCGTAAAGTTCGCAACTCCTTACGTCATCAAATTTGGGGACTGAGTTTTTAGTCGGGCTCTTTTCCAAATACTTAATCTCTATTGGTCCAAATGCAAAATTTATTGTCCGATTTAGGTATTTGTTAGGAAGTTAAAAAGAATTTCTAAGTTGATGTTACAATTATGATGTTCAGTTACAAATAATGAGATAGTTAATGAATTAAAATTAGAAAATAAATAAAATATATAATAAATTTCAGAAAAATTGAAAACGGGACTTTACGTAATTAATAAAATTATCCATTAAAATGGAATTTGAATAGGACTTGGGATATGAAATGAAAAAATTTACTTTTTATGTATGGATTGCAAAGTATATACAGGGATTTTTTCAATTCCACTGTATTTGTAGAAAAATTACGAGGACGTTTCTTTGCGTTAAAATAGAGAACAAGAAGATTTTCAAAGCTATTTAAAGACATGCATAACCTAAAAACTTAGTTTTTTATATTGAAAATAAACAGTAAAAAAATGATACAGCGCCAAGCAGGTTTGTTTTATTTCACTGTGTTTGTAAAAGAAATTTGTAAGGACTCTTTTACTTTCAGAATAGAGAACCAAAAAACTTTTCTAATCTATAAGAAGATAAATGTGTTGTTATTATTGAGTTATAGAATATTAAGTTATTTTACGAAATTTCTAAAATGCTGATTGGTATACATGTGTATAAAAACATAAATCTTTAAGCTAGTACTGATTGTCCAAGAGCATGCATGCTTTTAGGATAAAGATAATGATGAAAATTTAACAATGACATACAGTATGTTACGTATGATAGTGGTAGATCATGGATTCATTTGCTTTGTTCAATAAATTCGTTAAGGGGTCAAGAACTGTGAACACCAACAAATCAAAATTTACCACGAACAACTTGCAGCGGATATCGGAGTTTCAGAAAAACTATTTATCTTAATAGTGTAATCTTTTATAAAATACATATAACTTATAAAATTCTATATTATGACAATACGTTAGATACATGTAGTGCTCCGAACGATCGAATCAACCCGGGTTATTTAACCCGACCCGAGTTTTAAATCGAGTCGGGTTTATTAATAA